AAGACCGTTCTCGGACAGACCAAAGAGCATCGTTCTAGACTTCTGAGAACAGCTGCTAGCAAGCACAACAACTGGCTGAGACAGGTTTTATTGCTCTCTAGACACAACTGAACTTCAAAACATTTCTCTTTGACAGGTTCGCATGCAAAAAACCGTATATCACCATCTAAACCTCTTCACATTTGATGGTATTGGAAGATTTTTCGTCGCCGAATGCTGGGTACCCCTTGTACACATGGACGATGTGAAAGCTGCGCTTGAGAAGGGAGTGGTAAGAGCAAAGTTCGCTGATGATTTGCATGTGAAATTGTTTATATAGGAAACTTCTGGATCTACCGTCCGTCCTGTGTTAAATGTTTTGGAAACTCCTGAAGTACCGCCAACGTACAACAGAACTAATAAGTTCACCGAAGTTTTCCAAGGCATTGTTGATTCGTATGGAATTGCAACCTATCGCGAGTTGAACCCCGGTTAGCTTTGCAAATTTACATGTTTTGTAAAAAAAAGTCTCTCATTAGTTCCAGAATTGTCATAACAAAGACTCTAGACTATTCTTCTAAGACGCAAAAATTTACTCATTTTCTGCGAACATTGAGCTATAGTCATTCAGTCCTTATATGGTTCAAAAGATATTGTGAACTATAAAAAAATGAAGGACCATTATAATAATTAATATATATATATAATATATATATTATAAAGTCAAATGTACACAATATATGAATAAATAAATAAGTAGTAACAAAATAAAGATGTATGATTTTGAAAAATCGGAACAGCTACAGAAAAATAATTAGTCCGCAACAATATACAACGGTCAATTTAGCTTCCTTTGATGCTGCGTAAGATATTTCATGCATTTTGAGAAATTGAGAGAGGAATAGCAGACTTACGGTAAAAAAATTAGCAAGTCTATGGAAACCTGATTTTGGATTTAAAAAGAAGTTTAGCACTTACACATTCTTAAATTACCAAAATTTTAGTTTGCTTGTTATTAGGATAGAAATAAGATTTTGGAGTAATACTTATATATTTGGTCAAATATTTAGCTCCTTTCACCATCATCTCATTCCCATTCATCTTTGCCTGCATGTTTGGTGATATGGGTCATGGAATGCTGATGTTACTGGCTGGACTTTATTTCGTACTTCGCGAAAAGAACCTTATCGAACGTAATATTAAGGATGAGGTGGGTCAATTAGGGTTCTTTGAACCTCACGCTCAGTCTTCTGAAAGTGTTTCTTTTTCAGATATTTAGCATGTTTTTCGGGGGTCGTTACATCATTCTTCTCATGGGACTATTCTCAGTTCACGCTGGTTTCATGTACAATGACATGTTCGCCAAGTCATTCAACATTTTCGGTTCAAAATGGCTGAATCCTTATGAGTAGGTTCATTAGGGAAAAGCGGAGAAGAGAAAGAGAACAAATTATCAAGGAAGGAGTCAAAATAACATTATTTAGACAAAGCGAACTTTCTCATTGGATAAATCAGTCTTACGTTACTCATAAGGACGAGTTGCGAGAGGTCTGTTTTGTTAGGAGCCCTTTATCATCTTCATCAATATTGTTCTTGTAGATGGATCCGGGTTACAGTTTCCAGCATGAAGAGGGTCCGTATCTCTTTGGTATGGATCCTGTTTGGAACTTGGCCAACAACAGGCTGAATTTCCAGAATTCACTGAAAATGAAAATCTCTGTCATTGCTGGAATTGCACAAATGACGTTTGGCGTAGTGCTGAGTTTGTACAACTACAGGTAACTTAACTCTGCGACGAGTAATTTTTCTGCAAAAATTT